GTCTTCATCTAATACCTTGGTTCCAGCCTCTATAATATATTACTTTTTGAAATATTTCAGTAGTTTCTGAAATTATGTCTCTTTTGTCATTCAGGTATATATGCTATGCTGCTTATAATTATCTTTCAAAAACGGATAAAAATGTACTGTCCTGCTTAAAAACATGGATGACTTGCTGGTGCTAACAAGATAAAATCTGAATTCTTAGCATGGCACTGGAGACTTTGCACATGCTAATCACAAACCACCTTTTTATCCTCAACATGGGTTATTTTCTTTCCTAATGTTCCTATTTCCTAGACCGCCGCTGTAGAATAGAATTCTGGGATGACAGAAATGTTCTATATCTGTGCAGCCAATATGGTAGCCATTAGTCACATGGGACCATTGGGCACTTGAAATGTGACAAGTGCTGATAAAATACAGAATTTTACATTTTGTTTCATTTTAATTAATTTTAATCCAACCTAGTCAGATGTGGCTAGTGGCTGCTATATTGGACAACACAGCTTGGGGCATATACCAGTCTACTTTTATTCTCATGTATAAACTTCAACTCAGCTGACATGATTTCATCTGTCTTAAATGTTCTTCCTAATTTGTTTTCTTAAAAATTGCAACTTATTCTTCAAATAATTACTACAGTGAAGCCATACGTTCTCCAAAATCTTCTCTGCCAAACTTCCTTTGGCAGAATCAGTTTATATGTTTTGTGAATGAATTATTTACACCTGAAATGAAAGGAAGCCTCCCCACGCCACTGTGACCCTTATTGACACAGCTGCTTTTCAACACTACATGCCTGTTAAATCAGTGTTTCCCAGACCATGCTACCTCGGGTCTCAAGAATGCCTCAGATGCCAGGTATAGACTACAAAGATCTGGCTTTGTTGTACCTGTCTATTTCAACAAGAACAGATCCATCAAAAATGTAGTTTATGTTTTCGTAAAATATGACATATTTTATCTCATTATTACTATTTGTTGTAAAAAAATTCCTGCTTCTGACAAAGTATGAGAAATCACTCATCTAACTGTTAATTCCTTCACAGACTCTTTGTTTACTTTTGATTTTTATATTGGACGGTTATTTATATTGTGCTTTATTATCTATATGTTTGCATTTGTTATATATTTTTTCACAACTAGATTTAAAGATTTCTGAAAGAAGAGAACACATTCCATCTCTTTTTATCTCCAAAGTACCTTACACATAGTTGGTGAAATAAATTTCTATCATTTTACATTTTAACTAAATCAAAATCCTAAAAATAAGTAAGTTATATCCTCGAATGGCTATTTTAGGTCCCTGGTGTAAGTATAATGAAATTTTCTAAGATTTTTGATAGCCTATGGCATGAATATTCAAGTTTCAACATGAACTACTCTTTAGTTAGCAATGGCTGGTTTGCTGCTGTTGCCTTTCTGTGACCTTTACCTATTCCATAAAGGGTCTTGACTGCATTGTTCAACACAGTAAGCCTAACTTCTTAGGTTTTCTTGAAAGTAAATGTTGGCGCAAATACACATGCATCATATACTTAATGAGTGGTAATTAAAAAAACATAGATAGGAATATGGACCCAGACAAAAAGTCATTGACATGTACAATAAAAAAGAAAGAGGAAAAATATAGAAATAAAGAGGGAAAGACAGAAGAAAGGAAGGGAAGGAGGGAGGAAAGAAAAGAATGATACACAAAAAAAAGACACGGAAAAAAAGATTGAAAAAAAGAAAGAAAAAGGAGAGAAAGAAAGCCCAATATTTCGTGTGCAGAGTAGAGTATTAATAGAAAGCAACTTTATTAATTTATGTTTTCTTAGAAGGTTAATTGAAGCTAAAAATCTATGTTGTTTAGCGCTTCCTAAAACAAACAAATCGAGATTTTCTGAGAGTCTCAGGTAAGCAGTCAAAGAGATGTCAAGAAAGGGATTTTAGTTTCGCTTAATAACAGACATATTGACCTTTCAGTGACTCTAGCCAAGGTCTTTGGTCCCGGCCTGACCATTGCCATAAATAATTTAGAAAAAAATACAATAAAAATGATAAATTTCAAAGTACTCAGAATTTTGAGCCTATTAAAGAAAATGGGGAGATGGAAGAAAGGAGAAAGAGAAAGATGGGGGGTAATAAAATCATGAACAATGAAAACAGGTATAATGGCAAAATGCTACAAGATCTCTAGGTCTAGGCTGTCTGTACATTGGACTGTGCCGGCTTGGAACAGAAGAAAAATGTGAATTCTGCAAAGCCTTTAAGTAGAGGATTTAGCGAGCAGAGCTGTCTATTCCTCATAAAAGTACATTCCAAGTTACCTGATTAGCAAGACCATATGGCTGAACACCGAACCATGCGGGGAGTCAGATTTGATTTCTGATCTGGTTTTTCACTCAAAATATCATTTAATACTGAAAGAGCTCATAAAGCACATAATCAAACATAGAAAAAAGACCATAGAACTTTATTTTGGGTAGCTGTAAAGAAAATATTTTTGGCACCCAGGTAGTCAATTGCAATATGTCAATTTAACTGTTGCTATTTGTCATTTAGTGCTGCAAAGCTATCATTTAATTTTTATTCCTTATTTTTCCATCATTAGTATTTAATATCTTGGACTTGATGCTAAATTTTAAAGACCTATAGATTTTAGTTCTAGTGCCTAGAATATGGAAGTTCTCAATATTTGATGAATAAATAATTTGAATGATATCATAATTTTAAAGTTTTCACTTCAATAACTCAGCTCTCCTGAGTAAGTGTGCCATCCAAACCTGCGGTTGAGTGTGCGTGATCTGTAGTCAAACTGGTTAGCTGCAGTCCTCCAATAGCCACCTTTTGGCCGTGTGTCCCTGAGAGAATCCACGTGAGGTTGAACATTGCCTGGCTTTTATGTAATTTTATCCTCCACATTTCCAATCAAAATTTCTAACAGTAAAAATTTCAAAGTAATAATTCAACATAGCTATCTATGATGAGTAAATTATGAAATGAAAAATCCAGAGAGGATGCTTATCTTCAATTATAGAAAAATAGTAGAAAACATTTATCTTTCTTTATCTAAAATTTTAGCAATGGATGTTACAGTTGACACCATTGCCCTCTGTCCGTTCAGGGGCCATGATATATCCTATGGAGAAGCTAAAATCATGTCAAGTTGGAAGAGTCACAGGCTAATTATACAATACAAGTTCTCAACTCTGTACGGCCAGCAATATGCTCCGCTTTCTTGGAATACGGTGAAAATCTAAAAGCAAAATATGTCAGAGTTTGACTCTTGGAATATAACATGAAAAGTAAAATATCATTTAAAAGTATAGCAAAAGTTTATAAATTAATGAATGAAAAAATGGGGAGAGGAAAAGTTAAATCATCAAATCCTACAACTTCCAAAGTTAGTTAATGTGGAAAACTCCATGCTTCATTTTTCATGTGTGTGTATATATGCATATATACATACATACACATACATACACAATAGTAGGCTTACAAGCTTCCTACCCATGCATAGCTGTTTTATATGGTTGTCATTTATTTGAGCATTTAGAAACAAATATTCTTTGAAAACATTTACTGAAATCAATGATGAAGTGTCCTTCTCGTTAATTTTAGAAAAATAAATGTCTACTTTTCTTTCTTTTATTTATGCATGCAATATGAAGGAAGGGTTATAAGCTTGAGCTCTGGGATTAAAAAAAAAAAAGACCCAGTGCTGAGTCTTGGATTCTTCACTCACTAAGGCTGTGCTTGTGCAGATCACTGACCTTGTATTCACAGGGTTGCTCTGAGTATGAATGGAATCATGCATATAACATGCTGAGAGGAGTGCCTAGAACACTCAATAAGTATTAGCTATTACTTTCAGATTGTCATAATTCCTATTATAAAAATAAATTATTGTTAATCATTCCAAACTTAAGTATA